TAATAACTTAAGTCACAAATCTGCAAATAAAAGGAAAAACATTGATACTTACCGGGTCGTAATGATTCCACAATTTGTCAAAATCTTTGTTAGAAAATCCATGTTTTCCGATCTGAAACGTGATACGCATTTAATCAACTTGCAATGCATTGATGGACAATTTATACTAAATTATATTCAAATTTGCGTATCAATGAATATGGACCCGCCCAACATTGTTCTCGTYTTAGCGCAAACAGCCCCAACTTGGGTTTAGGCTTTACTTTGCAGATCTCCTGGGTGATGTTGACTCTAGAACTGCAGGACAGCGTCAACATTGATGCACAATATTGGGTCGTTACCGCAGAGCCCTATTTCCCACTAGGGAAGATGGGGATAATGAATAACGACAGCAGAGCGCAAAAATGAAAATCAATTGTTACCTCATAAGATTTTAAGAAGTTGTTTTCCACTTTCAGAAACCTAAGAGAAATAGCATTATTAATAACTCATAATAATAATAAAAATGACGATAATAATAATGATGATGATATCAAGGAAAGTGTATTGGGATCATTGACTGCCAACACGACAATAACGCTTACAGTTTCTTTGAGACAATAGTCTTCTTCTTCCCTGCGCCATCTTGAAAGGTAGCCGAGCCTTTACGTCGAAGCCACACAACCGTTGAGCGTGCAGTGATAGAAACCTTCTTTCACACCTACAGACAATTATTCACAGGTATCTATCATTGCACATTCAACGGTTGTTTCACTTCGATGTRAAGGCACGGCTACTTTTCAAGATGGCACAGGTAACCGTGAAGAAGACTATTAAAACGAACAGAAAAGCGATAGTTCAGACACAGGTTTGGCTGCAACCGGACTCGCCATCTGGATTGAGCTAATGATTGATGATGTTGATAACAATTAAACAAACTACTAAGATATTACCCTTGAAGCTCAGTCATGGTGATTTCYCCGTCGTGATCTTTGTCAAAGTTCTTCAGCTAAAAACAAATGAGAGCTTGCTTAATCAGGAGCGCTGGTAAATTTGAAATATACACTTATGTTTTGTGTACAAAACCGATGCCGTTATGAAGGGGGGCCTCAAAACAGGAAAATATTGCGTTACCAAACAWAGTTGGATGGTTTTGTGTGATAGTTAAAGACGACTTGAGCTCACCAAATAATCAACTTGCTTTTCGGCTTCATCAGCTGGTTTCTTTGGCTCTTCGTAGAATTCTAAGTAGTCAGCAATGAATCCCTAAAATGATTAAAGTCATCTTTTCAGAACGTGCGCACGCTTTCTTTGTCGGTTCAGTAAGCAGTAAAATAGAGAAAAAACAAGAACAGAAAACACACTCTTCATGCAAATCTTACCCTTAACTGTTTTCTACCGAGATAGCCCTCACGATGTGGGTCGTAGTTTGTCCAAATCTATTAAGAGGACATGAACTAAACGTCACTCAGGCAAATTGATTGATGAATATTTACAATAATTACTAATAGGCAGTAATAATAATCATGATGAATCATAATGATCACAATAGAGCGGATTTCGTATGAGTGGGACACCGTTACCACACGGTTACCGCACAGTTACCGGACCTGGCCTTCACAATGTTGGTGAACCAATGGGGCACTTCAATTTGGTTACAGTACAGTACCGTCCGTTTCCCACTCATACGAAATTCCCTCTATTGATTATAGATGTTGATGATAATGATAAGAGCAATCACTCATGATGATGATGATGATGATGATGACGATGATGATGATGATGATGATGATGATGATGATGATGATGATGATGATGATGACAATGATAATGTACCTTCATAAAGTCCACGCTACTCATGACTTCTTTGGATCCTCTTCTTGCTTTTCCCACGGGATGCTTCATTGTAAGAAGGAAGTTCTCTTCAACTGGCAAAATGGCGGCCAACTAGAAATAAAATGTCCCAAAAACAATGTGGTAAACGACGCAAGAACACAGAACACAAAAAAATATTAAATAAAAGGAAAACGCTCGGGTTTGTTCATGGTGTGATTGCAAAAGAAGCCAAAGCCAAGTCGATAACATTAAGTTGAAGTCAAAGTGATATATCTCTCTACCTCAGTGATATCTAGTTTCTTGTCGTGGTTCTTGTCATACTTCTGCATAATGAAATCCTTTAACTTGGTGACTTGGTCTTTGCTGTAGTTCTATAAAATATAAAGCATTGATATCAGTATATGACTAATTTTTTTACCATCATCATCATCATCATCATTATCATCATCATTATCATCATCATCATTATCACCGTCATCATCATCATCATTATCATCGTCATCATCATCATCATTATTATCATCATTATCATCATCATCACTATCATCATCATCATCATTATCACCGTCATCATCATCATTATCATCATCATCATTATCACCGTCATCACCATCATCATTATCATCGTCATCATCACCATCATTATTATCATCATTATCATCATCATCACTATCATCATCATCATCATCATTATCACCGTCATCATCATCATCATCATCAGCAGCAGCAGCAGCACCATTATAAGCACCATAATACTCATTGATTATGTATCAAAACCGGTCTTGGTCTTGCTGCTTGGATATATAAAAGGAAAGTTTTGTTCGGAATCAAAATCGTAGACCGGTTACCATTGAATCGGAGACCGGGCATTGAAGATATCGCTTCAGGCTTATTTTGGAAATACCGACAAGATGGCGGTCAGTAGCATGATATTATAATCATCATAGTCATCGTTATTTTGCATTTTATTAAAACGTGCAGCGGAGTCGTGTACTTACACTTCCGTACTTCATCTTGAAGAGGTCTTTCATAAAAGCATCTATTTCTTTGGCTTCGATGTAATTATTTCCTTTGAGAAAAAAAAAAAAAATGTTGATAATTTTAGCGAACAACTCTCTACTGAAAATGTAATCAAGTAAAAAAAAATTGATAAATGGAAACAGGAAGTAAAAGRAAAAAGAAAGGAAAAGGAAAGGATAACATCCAATGAAAATTAAGAAAAAGAAAAAAATAAGCAAAGGAAACTATGGAAAGAAATAAAAAAAGAAACAAATAAAGACCAATGAAAAGTTTTAAGAAGGAGGAAGAGAAAAGAGAAGAAAGGAAAAGAGAAAAACGAATATGAAAGAAAAGGAAATAATCCTGATTAYAAATGGTCAACGCAAATACAAAATCGATCATAAAACAAATGCGGCTTTTGCTTCAGTCTGGAAAACAATTTACCATCTACAGACAAAATAGTCAGCCWATCGTTAATAATAAATAAGCTCAACAAATAGAATTAGGACAAGCTAATGCATTTTGAGGTATTTCGATCTTCTAAAATGACTTTTCGATTATCTGTTAGAGGTATCGGAGTACGAAGTCCAAAACAACATACAAACTAACAAGACATGTGTCATTACACATTTATTACTGGTGACAAGCAATGCTTAACAGCTGTTTTCTCATAATCAACACTAATTTGAAGTATATTCCTCTGTGAATCGATGCCCAAGTAGTTGTAGCTTAGCTTTTCATGGTATATCTATTTGATACAACTTATTATTGCTGGATTTGTTTTGGGAAATGAACATTTTTAATTGGAACAGCATGCTGTAAGTTTTGTGGTTTAGAACACGCAAATAAGTCGCCAATTCACAATGTTTCTTATGATGTATTTAGAAAGAATGGACCGCTAAGGAATTGTTAATGTATTGTCATGTAAATGCAAAATATTTTGCTTGGATAACCCTAAAMAATAACCAGAGTCCTCTGGGAAACAATAGAACATTATTTTGCTTCCCGTGAGCCTCGCCCTCAGCACTTTTGTGCATAACCTTTCTAGCAAAATATCAGCSTTATTGGAATAAATTGTGGAGGGTRTCTTATTGTCAATGCATAAACCCCGCTGCGTTATGGTTAGACATGAATAGAAATAAATTCGATTTACAACAAAAACATACACAAAAAGGATGAACCAAACAAGAGGAACATGAGTTTATATTATAATATTTAAAAAAAATAATGAGACATTTATACACAATAATGACGAAAAAAATATACACATACAAAAAGAAATATAGAAATGTGAGGAACAAAACTAATTGGAAATGGGATTTGGTTTTCAAATAAGAGGATCTTCTTGGATTACTATAAAGTGTCGATTATTAAAAAATAAATAAAGGCATTTGAAGCTGTTAATTAAACCACGAAAAAAAAAAAAATACATTAAACACTTAAAAAGGTTTCTAGAAAAAATTAATTTCCGCATTTTGTAGATTTTCGTTTCATCCTTTAAAACAATACTGATTTTTCCTTCTYATCCGTGCGTGCATCTTAAAAGTCTCCCGTTGTCACGGAAATCGACTGTCTAGGAAGATGGATTTTTGTGTCATTCCAACGTACAACTATTTGTAGATATGTTGTCCATTATGATATAAAAATTGAATATTTGCGGAATTCATAAAAGACCGAAGAACTAAGGATAATCAAAGCCTTGTGATAAAGAAAAAGTAGTTCTTTTTGAATATAAAAACCTCGATGCTACAAGGTCTCAAAACTAAAACAAAAAACTCCGATAAAATGATGATGGCAACATAATCCGGTGGCTGAAAAAGGCAAATTYAAGAGGAGCTCTCATTCTATGCAAAACAGTCGTCTTTTCCGAGTAAATCTTTTTTGTTTAATTCAAGCACTACTCTCTTGTATTGTTAATGGCAGCCAATGGTTATACATAGATTTAACCATCATGATAACATTTACCACAGAACCGCGAAACATGGAGCCTTCGGGGCAGTTGTCTTACCGAGCTGACAATGGGTGAAGGGATTTACTATTGGATTAATGTTATCTCGAGCCATGAGGAACGACGAACTGCASAATCTTATAAAACGTATAGTTCAGAAACTGAATAGTTGTCTAGCACTTGAATAGTAGCAAACAATAGTCTAGAAGATGATTTATATTTTAAGAAGATGTTGTCACGGAATTCGTTATTGTTTTTTTTTTATTCACTTGTATTTACATCATTTTCTTCGCTACTTCTCATCCAACTCGTTGTCTGAAAAAGAACGACTGACGTTGAATTGATTAGAATCACTCAAAACTAACACAAGTGAGGGAGTTAACTACAAACAAAAGTTTTATGTCACCGAGCACAGCGTCTCCATTATAACAAAMGTTCGTGATAAAAAGTGTGAATTTCCTTCCTCGCGAGCAACTGCAACCCGCCTTTGAAATCYTGAGAAAAATCATTGAACACCACAACTACGATTTAAAAACACTGAATTTTTTTACCAAAATCGAGCTTTAATGACATTGGCGTTTCTTACCGCATGGATCCAGAACCAGTTGGCCGCCGCAACAATCAATTCAAAACTTACCGAACTGAATTGAAAAGAAAATCCCCCCAGTCGAATATTGTAAGTTAAACCCGTTTTATGATATTCACACATCACTGAGCTATTCTCTATTGGATTGGACAACATATTAGCACATCGGTTTGGTTTTATGATCAAAGTTGTGAATTCTCGCCATGCAACATAAAAAAACGTCTGAAATTATTGTCTTGCGTGTGTTTTGGTGATGGACCGGTTATATCTTGCTTTAGATAAAGAATCTAGAAATTGTGAATAATGAAAATATGCACGGAAGATTGTGGACATCGAATGTCATATTATTGAGTTCTTGTAGATATGGAACGGGTAGTTTTGTTAATTTTCAAAAATCGTCTACATCTTCAGAGAATAGCAAAGCGAACGACGCTTTGAAATTGTGGTGAAATTTTAAAACAGTAAATAAAAAACTAAGGATTTGAAACATTTTCAAATTAATGTCTGAGATGATGTGGGATTTTCGTTCAAACGTCTCATTTCCATAGGTTAAAGTAACGCTTCACTTCCGCTCGGATTTGAAGCAACAAATCACCTGGCAAATTCATGCTCAAAAACATCACCTATTCGACAATTTGAGAGCTTCGACAATATTTTTYCTCCAATCTTCAACACCATTCAATRCTGCAGTGTTTTCTTTGTCGAATTTAAGTCTCTTTTGAATATTTTCCAAGGGTATGATAAAACATTGCTTGTTTTTTGACCGAGTGGGGCCAAAGATTAACCAATTCAAATATCAGTTGTACGAGGCGAATTCACCTACCATCTTTGTCGTATTTCCTAAACGTCTCGTAGAATGAAGTCGAGTCTAATTTACTCGTGTCAAGAAAAGGTTTTGAGGCCATTTTGTAGAGAAGCTTCAGCTCAAAGCTAAGACAAGCAAGGTGTCTGCAAGATCAATGTTGTAATCAGTTGTGACTGCTCTACTTCTACAGCAAATGATGAATATTAATGAAGCAGCTTGAGTTTGATTGGTTGCTTAGAGATATGCTAAGTAATTTATAGAAGACGTTTCGATAAATTATTACAGTATAGAAATGGATCATTACAGGTATAAGTAGCCGGTGTTTAAAGTCAATAACGAGGCTTAAATGCATAAAAACGTAAATCCTGCAGTAATGTTGTGATAAATGTAAAATTTCAAAATGGTTTGGCAAAGTATTGTAATTATTGATGATCTAGAACTGGAAAAATACCATTATTTCTAATACTGGAAAATGACATTTCTACACCTATTGCAATAAACTTTGATAATGGAAAATAATCGATCTCAGACCGATTAGGATTATGGGAGTATGGATAATCGATCTTGGATATTTTTTCTTCCACTCTTAAATGTTTGTTTCTTATAATCCTAAACCAGCCCATTACGCAAAAAACTGCATACATTAAAAAATAGCACTTCAATTCAAAGCAATATAGATTAAAAAAGACCGAAAACTACTTCAATGACGTTGTTCAAGAACCGTTTCATTTCAATAAGTAATATTCATGATTAGATATTTTATTCTTTCCGGTGTCTGGATAAAAAATAACTGATCCATTTTAAAATATTTTAAAATGGTTTACAGTCTAGATAAAAATCCACGGGGAGCAGTCTCCGCAAACTAAAATCTACTATGTATTTCTTTGATATTTACACAGACATTAATTCTTATTCAAAATCTAAAAGACAAAATGTTATTCAATATTAAATCACTAAACTTAACATTTATCATGCCTTGAGCTATCGAATCAAGGAACAAAAAAAAAACAATATTTTAGGATTCGAGTTTTACACTAAACTTAACATTTATCATGCCTTGAGCTATCGAATCAAGGAACAAAAAAAAAACAATATTCCGCAAAGCCTCTTAGTTCAACATTAATGGCTTGGATTATAATCAATCCATTTTTCCACCTATACAAATATAGTTTTTCCCAGCAGCATTTAATACCTGTAGATATTGAATTAGTGAGGAAAAAAAACCCGACGCCACATTTGACACGGATTACTGTGTGTTTCACTTAGACCCGAGTTGAACCACATTATTACAGCCGAACCTACACTACGACAGGTGATGTTAGTGAGATTCATAAAAACAATATTTGCATGTATGTCCGCTAATATGATATGTATTAGTACTAATATTTTGCTAATTGACAATCTTTTTTGTTGAAAATCGATCAAACTGTTATCTGAATAACAAATCAGCAAAAATATTTTSCGCTTTTTACTTCAAAGTTGGTTTWAACCACTTATAAATAATGCTGAATTTTTCGCAAAACGYYATACCAAATAACACACAATATCAAAATCAAMAGYAATAGTGAGTTTTTTAATACAGTRCACCAAAATGTGATATTGATTTTCTTAAAAATACTTCGTCGTCATAAGCAGAATATACCACTCAACCAYACATTGACTGAAACAACCCAACACTAATCTTACCCACCTACAATCCAACTAAATTTGTCGTTTTAGTGGACAATTATCGAATGGTCTACCTATGGAAACTTAAAGACGMGTGAGACTTGGACCAAAATTGAATTTCATGACACAGGAACCCCATGGATTCCTATGATCCAATATACGATCAACGCCAAGAAAAAATACGATAGCGAAAGCTTAATGCTCATCGAGGGAATCTTCTTTCACTGGCACACTGTGTTTTGATTCAAAAAAATGCAATAAGTTTATCTTTTCTTTTCTTTTTCCTAGTCAATTAATTTTTAGTGACGATAGTAACGAATAAAACAATTCTTGTTTGTGTAATTTTCATCAAGAGATGGTCTAAACACTCAATATTGATTCACTATGGATATCAACTCACTTACAGTATCTTCAATGCGTCACTACAATCACTCATGGACGCGCTGGACTGCGTCCAAGTAGTACAAAGCTAATTCAACACTATATACTTGTTTATATGCGAAAAAACGCTTTGTTTTAAACGCTTACCGAGCAAAACAAAGAATATACAATGCTATGAATCACGTGATGTAGACTTTCTGTTCGGCATCCTAACCAGGTCTGAATCATACACAAGACGCGTTCCAAATTGAATCAAGCTGTCAACGATATTTGAGTGTTCATTACTCATAACAGAACGCTCTGTGAACGGACACTATTGTAAACATTTATATCGGAAAAGGTCTGACAATTTTTCAAACACTCGAACGCATGTGGTACTGTTGCCCAAGAAAGCCGCTTGCGGTCAACGCATGCGCGCTTGGGGAAGTAAGCCATACCAGATAGAGTACCAAACAAAGGACAAAAAGGGAGATAATTATCTACGGAGATGTATTTACTAGAGCTATCAGCTTTTGGATATATCAAAATACAATAAAATAAATATTCTTTTGAAAACATCTAAAACTGAAGTAAATGACGTTGTTTGTCAGCGGAATTATGTAACTATGAGCACGTATTAATCRGAATTTACCAACAAAGTTGTTCGAAGTGTTAATTCCAACATRRAGAGGATCTATTAAGTTKATTTCACTGCGTGARTTTGTGAAATCWTAAAATATGCATACATGCGCTCCAATGGTAGTTATAAAGGAAATTATTGTAGTTCTATTTCTAGAAGATGGAAATGACGAGCATATTCAAATGTTTTTTGTGGAAAATCAGGTGATGAAACTGAATACAAAAGAGATTTATAAATGTTTAAACAAAACAAAGATGGCTTAATACAGTGTTATTTAAATCACTAGTTGACACTTCCAAATGAAGTTAATTTGTTGACGATGCCAAAACAGTTATTAAGCAATCTTCATGGATTTCAATTCAAAATACATACATTATCTGATATTACTAATGACTTGATGCATATSTCTACACATTAGAATTATTTTGCTTCAAGGTAAACTATTGGTAGAATTTCAACATGGGAMGAGAGTTCATACTATCAAAAATTCCCCCAACAAATCAACCAATCACAGGAGAGCATTTTTAYGTTGTTAACCAATGGTGGTCACCTGCCAAAGCCAGCCATAATAATCTAAATACTTTGTTTTATAAAGCTAATAATCAGTGTTTGAAAGCAGACTTCTTGGAACTAGTTACACCTCAACTGCAAGAACTATAACGAAACTTTTTTTAAGTTTGTGAAAAAAATGGCTCGTTTTGATAAGAATAGTTTTGACACGTACATGTCAGCCTATATCGGATCTTTGAATGAAGACAGTTTGGAAGAAATCTTCAAGAAACACGATAAAGACGGTAAGTTGATTTTTTTTATGTTTTAATAATTGCATGATTTTGCTTTTAAAGGCAACTAGTACCATAAAACAGAGGATAACCGTTTCGATACTGCAATAATACCGTTGTTTTCTGGTGAATATTTTTGGAAGTGGGAGAGAGGGGAGGATGGTAGGACGGTAGGAGGAGGGGACGCAAATGATATGGTATTTCCACGAATTGAAGAATTYTTCGTCTTTTATTAGGAAATGGTTACATTGAGGCCAGCGAACTGGACGGATTCATCGCTGACATTTTCTCAAAAGAGGTAAGACCTTTTTAACTGCTATTGAAGTCGTTATACTTATTYAAAGATAACAAAATACACTCAGTTTATACGCAATTTTGTATGCAAGTAAAAGTTGCTGACAACGCARTTTTTGAATAAAAGTTGACAATGAAAATTTGAAAACGGAAAAAAATCTTATTYATTTTTGTTGAAAAAGTACAAATAAAATAGCAATATAGAGAAGCGCTGTTGATGAAACTATATATATACTGTATATTCAAACCTCATTGACAAAGACGCTTGTGTAAAATCATAATTATTYAGAAAATACAATGTAAATAAAATGTAAGCATGCTTTCAGTTAGTAAAATGAAGGCTCATCATCTTTTTCTTAAGAAAATGCCAGTCAAATCGAGTCAAAATTCTACGCTCATTTGTGTATTAATCAATAYATTAATGACATCAGTTGTATTAAGGGTTTTAGAATATATTTATGATAGTTTAACAAGCATACCTGTAGGTACCTGTTMAACGGCTTACGACGCGTGACTCGGAATGCTGTGAAAACGTAACATGCGGATTCTAAAAGAAAAATAATAAATAATAAAAAATAAGTAGATTACCACAAAGATTGCTGTTAAATCTAAGAAGCTAAAATGATTGAGAGAAAAAACTAATGAAATAAAAAAAATAGTAAATAAGAAAAAAAGGGAAATAGGAAAGGAAATGAAAATGGCTTTAAAAAGAAGAATATGTAATAGTATAACAATCGTAATTCTACTTCATCATAATGATTGTATTAATGAATGATAGAAAAAGAAAAAAGAAAAATGAGAAAGAAAAGGAATAAAAATAAAGAGATCCGAAAAAAGAATTCTACTTCATCATGATGATTGTATTAATGAATGATAGAAAAAGAAAAAAAGAAAAATAAGAAAGAAAAGGAATAAAACTGATAAAGAAATCCGAAAAAAAGATACAAAAAAAGGCGATTAAGTTCAGGTAAAATATAGTAAAAATAAATAAAACGAAAAAAAAAAGAAAATTCAGGTAAAGTATAAAAATATGAATACAATGTTATTAAATTGAAGAAAAGTTACAAAAACAATCATTACAAATCTCAAAACTCACGCTTCATGAATTGTTCAGTAAACAAGGTCAGGGCCAAGCCAAACCAAGTACATTATTACCTAGTTTCAAAAGAATACAAACGATAAAATATAAGAATAAAAATCAAGACAGAAAAAATAAAACGAAATGATTAACTTACCAGGAAACGATTCCATTAAAGTGTTACTCATTTACTTTATTAAGCCTTTTCACTTAAAATCCATAACTATCTATCTTCCGGCAAGAAGTCATTACAGTTCTTTGTGCAATAATGCCTAATAAGTTATGGTATAAGAATAGATTCATCTCACAGGACAAATTAAGCCGATTTTCAAATCGAATAATTAATAATTCCTTTCCCTCCAAAAGCGCGCGCTTTTCAGCTTCAGCGACTAATTTCATTGAGATTTCCTTGAAACATATGTAAGATCACTTTGAGAAAGGTGCGGAGTTTTTGAAAACTTGGTACGGTTTTCTGGGATAACACTTAAAAAACCCTATATATGTTAATTACCAGGGAGTGATCATCGTTGTAGTATCTTGGCGCACCAGTGGCTATACAACAATACAACAACTGACTATACAACGCAGTTATGAGTTTAGTTTTGCGAGGTCATTTATCTATCAATTTTTTTAGCTATCCAAGGAAGAGCTGAAGGAATTCAAGAAGCAACTTCTGGAAAGAATCGACAATAACAATGATGGGAAACTGGACAARGAAGAGGTAAATGTGATATTATTATTTTCACTGTCTTTGCTACCTGTTTACCTATCCTGTTTATCTTCGATTAATATTTTAAAAACTATTATGATTTATAATTGATAATTTATCGATAAAAATCATGGCAATCACCAAATAACTATCATGACTATTATGGTCTGCTATCTCAATGTTAAATAATCCCTGTGGTGCTGTCTAGCTGAGAAGCATTCTACCCACCGAAGGCAACTTCCTGATGCAGTTCTGCAAAGTTGGAAAGTCAGTATGTGGCGTGGACTTTGTCAAGGTATTTATAGCCTTAGTTGCGTCATAATGTATTACGTCATGGCGACCGTATTGGTTGAGCTTTGACAAAAGATTTCCTCGCGATAGCTTATACACAGGAATCCTATGTCATATGTTCATTTATCGTTAGATATGGAAYCACTACGACAAGAACAAGAATGGAGTCTTGGATGGAAGTGAGCTGGATGTAAGTAACCAAATTGA